CAGGGGGCTGATAACTGCTCTGGGTATTAAAGGCTGAGACAAAGGCGACATTCAGTACCTCAACCTTTTCCTTGTCCTTTGTCACTATGTTTCCCTCCGCATCCAATAAGGGATGGAGATTCCCTTTGACTCTCCTTTTGTTGCTAATGTATTTGTAGAAACATTTTTTGTTGTTTTTCACAACAGTGGCCAGATTAAGTTCTAGTTGGGCTTTAGCCTTTCTAATTTGCTACCTGCATGACCTCACAAGATTCCTGTACTCTTAAGGTATGTCTCTGGCATATGCAGGACAGCTAATTCAAAAGACAGCTAATATATTAGGTATGCAGACTGTCAAGGGTTGTTATAGTGTTAGATTTCAGCTGGCACTCACATTTCACTTCTACATCCATTTTCTAAGGTTATAATATGCATGGGACAACTCTGTCCTCCTGAACCCAACTTTCCTGATGTTCACCTAGAGATGGGCAGGGCATTTTCTTAAGGTCTAATCCCAGTGTCAGGTACCCTACAAAGTCTTCTGTAGTCCCAGTTCCTTACTCTTCCAGGTTACAGAGTCAATTGAAGACTATTGCAGCTCCCGTCCATCCCCTCTGATGTACCATGTTGGAATAAACAATAACAGAGGAGAGTACCCTCTTCAAGTACTGTTGTATGGGAGATAGAAACAATTTTTTGCCTATGCAGAAGTGTCCTTCAGCTTTGGACAACACAAGCAAGAAAGCTAGTGCTGACTGCTGGATGAGATTAAAGCTTGTTAATGTGTTTATTGAAGTCACATATACTGTCTTTGAAATGTTTTCCAGGCCCACCTGTGATGGAAGTGAGATCAGAAGCTGTGCAGATGTGCCCCCGCTATCCTGAACCAGTACCACTGGACCACCCAATCCCCATTCTAAAGGACGCATTGGAAAAGGTTTGTGGGGAGAAGCGAACAGAGGGAGACAGAGCTCATGACTGCTTTTCTGAAGGTGTAAAGGGGAGAATATCTATTTTTCCCTGAGCATCTCTGGGGAAGGAAGTAGAAATCAAGGAGGTGGAGGACATGGGAATGTAGAAATGGGTAATGGAACTACTTCACTGAACATACAGAACAGGTCAATAAGCAGTTATCTTCAAAGGGTAAGCTGTGATCAAGAAACATTATTACTTGTCCATCAGAGGGTCTTCTACATCATCAGAAAATAATGGCTCTTGGCTTCTTGTCTACTATTAGTCAACCCTCATGTCCTGGAAAGCAGGTGACTCATGTAACTAGTTCCTATTCATCACTCACTCCCAGTTCCTTGTTTTATTGCTTTGCTGGCTTTCCCCATTTAAAAATCAAAAAGCTACTTGTAGGTAACTTCAAGGGAATGGAGAGGAAGGGGTAGAGGAAGGGGACTTGCATCTGAATGAGAGACCTGCTTTTCCTCAGTATGATACACTGCCTCTGAAGTTCTAGCAGTGTCTGAAATTCTACTAGGCTTTATTTGCAGTGAGGAAATACTGCACCATTCCCTTGACTGTATGGACCACAAAGACAGTCATACTCTGAAAGGACACTCCTGATTTTGTAGACCCATATCATATAATATACCCTCTCATTTGTCTCTTTTTAGTAAATGGCTGAATTAGTCATAATAGAAGCTGTCCCACAGCTCTAATCATTCTTTTTACTCCTCTTTGAATCTTTCCCTGCTCTAGTATACTCGTTCTGAGATGTGGGAAATTAGTACTCTATACACTGTTCAAGGTGCAAGTGGATCAAGGATTTGTACCATGATCAAGTGGTGTTTTCTGTTTTATTTTATGTTACTTCTCTAATAACCCCTCATACTTTGATTACCTTTCTGTCACAGGACACTGAGCAAGTGTTTACATAGGAACTTTCATCATACCCCTAGGGTCTTGTTCCTGAGTGCTAATGACCAGCTCACTGTCCATCTGTGTGGTGTGTATGTGTTGTGAAGTTAGGGTTGTTTTCCCACATGCACATAATGTTGTATACGCTGAAATTCAACTGCTATCACTTCATACTCCCTTTTATGAAGTCTCTGCTGCTGTCTCTGGGATTACTGTAGAGAGGTATTTATTCAGTTAGGATTATTCAGAGAGGTGAGGGAATGTGAGTGTCCCTCAGAGAGTCATCTAACCTATCTTCTTTGTGCTCCTCAGAAATGAAGTATCCAAGCACTTCATAACTTATTTGAAGTAGACTGGTGAAACTATTCCTGTTTTCAGATGGAATAAGGCACAGAGAACTCGAACATTAGGAATGAATAGGAAGACATAGTTATTTGAAGGGGGCTTAGACACCAGCACATCAAAAGTCTATCATCAAATACCCTTAGGTTCTGCCTAAGTCTGTGGAGACTTGAACCCACACTAAAGATCTTGCGTTACCTGAGACAAACTACCATCCTGTGCCAGGCCAGGGACCCTGAAACTGGGACTCTGGACAGTACCAGATGTGATTATATTGTATACAGCAGAGGACTTTTTCCTAGCCCACAGCAGCTTGAAATAGGAAAGTCACATTCACTCATGCATGAGGCTTAAAGAAACATTTCTGTTCTGAGGGTAAACGCTTATCAGAAAGACCTGTATTTTCCTCAGAAGAGTCTTCCTAGTGGTGAAATCCAAATGCTGAACTTTGGGTTCAATGACACTTGAGTTTAGAAGAGCATCATGTATTTGTGTCAACTTCCTGTAGGTCCATGCAGGTCTACATGCCAGACTCTGAGAAAATTCTAAGGAGGACCATGCTTGCTGACATGAGACCAGTCTGTTCTCTGGAGGTCTTGATGTACCTAATCATCCTAGATGGGCCATTGGCACATACATGTGGAGGGCAAAGAACTGCTATTTCCACTGGTGGCTGTCAGTGCACCTCACCAGTGAAGAGGTCCTGAGAACATCACTTGGCTTGGCCTTTCTTGTCTCAATGCTGGGCCTGGAAGGCCATTTCATATATCTTAAGCTTTCTGTGCAAAAGACAATTTATGCATGATGATGACATAGTTTTGAAAAAGTCATAAAAGAGGAAGACCAATGCATTCTGCTTGCAAGTGATGGGTGGAGCACAGCTGGCTGATTAGCTCTACACAATCCTGGCACAACAGGGAGCAAAGAGCAATCACAGCCTTCTAGTTGCCCACTGCTATTTCTCAGATTGAGGTTTAAACAGAAATCCAAGGTCTAGCATGTTTCATGGAAAAGTGTTATGGGATGTTTTAAAAGTTTTCTCATACATCTTTGAACCTAAAATACTAGTGCAAAGAATAGATGTGCACGGTACAATTTAAAATGGAAGAAATTACAATTATTAGGTTTTAGAATTTTTTTTTAATCTTGTAAGCATCATAGGTATTACAAGGATGACCACCACATTCTTCTACACAGTGGGCATATAGACTGAAACAAAGATACTGGATAATGCAGCATAAGCAATTCAAAGGAACAGTGTGTTTACAATATTTTCTTTTGCCAAAACACATTGGAAAAAATCTCTCTTAAGTGCTACGAAATAAAGAGGTCTTATGGCCTGGGTCTTCTGCTACCTGTTACAGGCTAGATGCATTACAAGACTCTCATTTAGAAATTCTTAATTTCCCATCATTCTCTAGGTAGATATGATGCTGCGCCAAAAGATTCATAGCTCTGGTCTCCCTGCAATGTCTGCCATTGTTATCTTCAATGACACCGTGCTCTGGACAGGCAACTTTGGGAAGAAGAATGGTTCGGAGCCCTCTTCAGTGGTTCCAAATGAGTACACTGTTTACAGGTGAGATGGATATATCACAGGCATAAGAGCTAGAAAAAGAGCAGATATGCATATGGAGATCTGATATTTGGGAATAGAGCCACTATAGCATATGGAGATCTGATATATGGGAATAGAGACACTCTAACAAACCATACCTTCTACTAGGTCATGTCCATTGCAAAAACTTCTGGGTTACACTGAAACTTTTTGAGATAATGCTTCAGTTAGTCCCGAAATTATCATGTGCTTGTGACTTACTGAGCTGTTTACTTTAGATTTTTTAAATTTATTTTTAATTTGATCTGACAATATTTTAAATTGGAATAGCAGTGGCCATGTGAAGAACCTGAAAACATACTACGCCTTACATAGGAATATATCTATGCTTTGGGGAGGCCTAGTGCACAAATCTGAAGACGGATAACTAGCACATATGCTGAACATATAAAGTAGTTCTGTATTTTTATTCATTTTTGCAGTGAAGTCAAAGCCATATTGGCTATTCTTTTTTAGATTAAGATAGAACCTAGCTCTTAAGTGTGTTAAAAAAACCCCAAAAACAACCAAACAACAACAACAAAAAACCAAACCAAAACCAAAACACAAATACAGAGGAAGAGTTTGCTTTGAAAAGAGTAAACCTTTTTTTACCCTTGAAGATCTGTTTTCAATGATTTATAACTGTGCTATATATGAAATGTATGGCCTGTACTCTATCATATATTATCCTCAGGATAAACAATTTTGGAAAGTTTCAGCAGCTATGATTACCTGTTTTTCCCCCTCTGTATCATGGTAAAATCCCTGCATGCTATTTGTCCCAGAATCATAGAATCATTTTGGTTGGAATGGGCCTTAAAAGGTCATCTAGTTCCACCCCCCCTGCCATTGGTGACGATAAGGGGAACCCGTCCCTGGGGGGGCCTGAACCACCAACCTTTTAATTTACAGCTGAAGGCACTAACCAATTATGCCACAGAGATGTCCCCAAAAAACTTATTGCCAGTTGGCATTGTTTATGATTGGAACTACAGTGGTATCTGATGATCTTCGAAGATGTGACTTTCATTCTTGATTAATGAGAACATTCTTGGCAAATGCTTTCACTCTAGGCCATCTTATGTTGGTCCAAGAATTTCAATTCTAGCAACAGAATGCAAATGCTTCCAACCATCTCTATTAATCATGGCCCTGCTTCTGAAAACCAACATAATAGAACCAGAGTCCTATTACAGAAGATGTTTTGTAAATTTGACTCTGTTCTGAAGCCACACAGATATCAAGTCTGAACATGAAATGTAAAACTTTATGGCATTTCAACCTTAAAATTCCAATAAACTACTTGAAACTTGTTAAGGTATTTACTAAGCAATAATTTACAAAATATGTCAACTTATTAATACTAAGTGAACAGAAGAAGTTCTGTAGCCCACTGCACTATTGGGGGGATAAGGTTATGTTGTAGTCCATAAAGGCCAGAGTTAAGGATATTAATTCAAGCTTCTTACCTGCATTTTAGCAATTCCCTTCTCATTTAACAAAAGTGTTGCATGTGAGTCAGTTGGGGGATCTCATGTACTGACCATGTGTCCTTGATTCATGGGTTTCTTAATGCTTAATTTCTACAAATGTTTGTTCCTTACAGAATTGCCAGTGTCTCCAAGATCTTTCCCACCATTATGTTGTACAAGATGTGGGAGGAAGGAAAAGTCATATCTCTTGATGACCCATTGGAACGTTATGCCCAGAACTTTGTTATTAAGAACCCTCTGGGAAGGCTCAAGGAATCACAACAGAGACACACAGCAGATGGGCTGATTTATTCAGAAAAAGGCTCAATGCCACTTAAGACATCACCTGTTACCTTACGCAGAATGGCCAGCCAGCTCTCAGGTGAGACAACACTGCTGCCTGCTTACCCTCTACCCACCACGATGCCACCTGAAAGAGACCAAAGATAGAACACTTTATATACCAGGGATAAAAAAGGCTTCTGTTGAGGCCATTTCCTAGTATGGGTCTTGAACCTTCGCACTTCCCAGAGGTGAGGCAGGACCCTTGGAAGCAAGCTGTGAGCAGCTTCGTGAAGTGCTAAAAGGAAACTGTCATCCAGGCCACCTGCTAGGAAAGGGATCAAGCTACGCTGTGGGCTGGAGCATTGTTTTTCCTGTGCAAGGTGAATATATAGTTCTTTCAGAACAGTAACATGACCTGAAATCAGGCTCCAATTGCATAACAATTTTTTTGTACTCCATCCCAGAGTGCTCTTATTTTTCTGAGATGTAGAGTTAAGGGTCAAAGTGGCACCAAACCTCTTTGCTTTGACCAGATAGACCTTGATTGCTGAGCTAAATTTAGCTGTCAGTGTGATTCCTGATCTGGGATTCCTGAGTTATTAATAGCTTTGTACTTGCTAGCAGAAGACTATTAATCTGCTGCTACCTTCATAACTGGGTAACTCTTACATTAAGGTATAAGGATCTCTCAGGACTCAGGAGAACTTTAATCTTTCTAAGAAATTAAGCTGCTAGTGCTAGACTCAGAAATTCCAGAATTTAATGGACAAAGAGACTGTGCTGATATCTCGTGGCATTTTGACTAAACTCTGTAGCACCTGCATTATTCCAGATTGGAATAAATGCCATTAAAATTAGGACCTAAGATCAAAGTAGCACATAGACAAATTGCAGTACCTCAGAACAGGGTACAGCATCACCTGAATCAAGCCAATATCAAAATAAGGGTTCCTCAAAAAAGAATGATCTAACTGAAATCTAGAAACAGAGATACAACCAAAAGTGGCGAGTGGCAGAAGGAAGCAGAAAGAAAGGTATGAACACAACCCAGCCCAGATCCTCTCCCTGCAGACGAGGTCTTGCTCTAGCCAGCCTCATGATGTCCCAAGGGGCACTAACTCTGCCTGGTCCCCTCTGACTCTCAAGAGCACCTGAAGCAGGTCTGGATGCTCCTTTACAGGAGCAGTGTGTTCAGGGGCTACAGCTCCAAGCCCTGCTGCATTTCTCTGTAATCTAGTGAGGTGTGAGATATGCCCTAGAAATACTTGTAAGAAGCATATGTCAAAAGTGTTCCTGATCATAGCATAATTACATGTAATGTGCAGCTATTCCGTTACTTCCATCACTGTACTGGGTTTGTGCTCCTGTTTAGCTCCTTTATGTTCATATGTCTTTTTCTTTTAGAATGTGGCCAAAATTTCCCAGACCACACTAGCAGAGCACACCAAACAGCATGGACCCATACAATTTAGAAGTAGAAACATAGTTCCAAAATCACAGTAGAAAATCAAATTAATATTGAGGTCACATGTTACATTTCCTGTTTGTCAAAACCCAAAAAGGAAAAAGTTTTGCATAGCTTGTGGATCAACATCACTGCATGACACATTGTAAAGTGTTTTTCATGTAAATTCCTCCATTGGAAATTGATCTATAATGTATCTTCATTATGTGGGCTTTTCTACATTGTATATTGCAAAAGTAACTCCAAAGATCTTTCTTCTCAGCACTTGATGGGTATGTTGCTAAAGGGAAGTTCCAGCTTGTTAAGACATTCATTTCCAAATATACATGAATGACAGTATGAGTTGCTATTGCAAATTACTAATAGCATACTTGTCACATGAACTAGCAGGCCATGAGGTATAAATCAGTGACTGTGGATTTTCTGTTATGCTCACACATTCTCTGGTTTATCATTTCTTGTAACCCTCAAGAGAGGCACTGCACTGCTGGCATGGTGCTGGTGAGCTCTCCCAGTGGTGCAACGTTTTCTTTGCTGCCATTGTGGCAAGTAGGAGATGAGAGAGCCCATTGTCTACTGGAAGATGCTCAGTGCATCTCTTATCTCGTCATTAAGCTGCACAAATAACCACAGACTGGAAACAGAAAAAATGCTCTCATTCCAAGTTTAAATCTCAAGATCATGCCAATTGAGAAAAACATATGTTGCTGCTACAGAAGAATAGGGTGTCATTCAGCTTTGCCATGATTAAGCACATGCCCACTGAGCAAATGATTGCAAGTCATTTTTCTGTCATGTACGCTTCCTGATGTTCTCCTAACCTCTAAATCAAAGTCAGCTGTAAACTGCAATGAGGATTTCATTCCAGATATAATCCTAGTTCTGGACTTGGTGATTCACAGATCCTGTGCTGTGGCATTTTAAAAAACTCCTGGCCCAAAGTTTCTAGGGAAACCATGTTCAGTGTTGTGGAATTAAAAGTGGAAAGAGAAAATGTTTTTCTACATTCAGAAATCCTGGATAAATGTTGCCAAAGATGGGGAAAGAAAAAAACAATCAACAACAACTGAAGATAAAAATAATTTAGATCAAGCCTGGGATGGTTCAGAGAAGTTCAAGTCCTCTATAGTGAGATGTAAAACCAAAAACCTGTTTAAAGGGGCTGTTGCACACCTTTACAGTCAAGGGAATACAGTCACATGTAACTATGGGCAGGGTTTTCCCCAACACCCAGTAAGTCCTTCTCTTCCAAAATTCATTTGGAGATACAGGGTTTTTTTAATCTTTCATCAAGGTATTTTTACTGAAATGTAGCAACATAAGAGTTGATGCTCGGGTAGGACTTGTTATTACCCAGATTCAGCAGTCCGTGACTTCAATACTGTGTCTTGCAGTCCAGTATGAACAGGTCCTTGAAGGACATTTTCTATGTGTATAAAGCACACGTGCGCATCACTGTTGTTTCCATCTTGCCATTGAATATTGCCTTTTGCTCAGTCTTCACCAGACTCAACGTTTCCTGGACTATGATTTGTCTGAAACTGTTAACTTCTGTTTTCCATGGCACAGGTCTGCCCAGGAGGCTGCGATCTACCAGCCTGCTGTGGAAGGGCAACACGCAAGATGCTCTAGCTCTCTTGAAAGATGATGTCTTGGTCGCTGATCCTGGAACCAGGTCAGATGCATTCACTTATGAGCTTTTGGACTGGGTTTGTGTTCTCCACTGATATTAGCCCCACCTGCAGTCTTTATGGTCAGTGGAAAAGACAGCCAGTCCTAAAGTGCCCTTCAGCCGTCTACCCACACACCTGTCTTAGGCTGGACAAAGTGACTATTGGAAGTGCCTGGGTTTTTAAAAATGTGTATAGAGCCTGAGTGAAAAGCCTAGATGAGGCAAATTAAACTGATATAATAAGGTCCAATAGCAACTTATTCACCTTACATTTTGAAAGATGTAGACTTTCAAAAGTGGAAACATTGTTAATTTAACCAGTTTAAACCAGCATGGATTTGTATGTCTCTAAATTATGCTCTATTAGTATTTGTTACTATTTATATAGCCTGTTATAAGTCTGTTACCTGAGTTACAAACACTCAAAAATATGAACAGGGTACAGCAAACAGCAGGTGAGGGAATGGGTTCAGACTAACTGGGAAAAACAGAATTTCTAAGTCTTCAAAATTTTTAGGGAATAGAATTACATTCTGAAATAATTTGCCTAGAGTTGCTGAGGATTCACAATGTCTCAAATTCTGCAAGTATAGAAAACTCTTAGAAAACTTAATGGCTTGATCGTGGCCACCTTTTATTAGTTCAGTTTGATGTCATGTAGGAGGTTATAATGGATTTTCCTTAAAGGATTTTAATACTTTAATGCTATCATCTTATTGAGAATCATAGAATTATATAATCATTTAGGCTGGTAAAGACCTTTAGGATTACAGAGTCTAACCGTCAACCTTGCACTGCCAAGTCCACCACTAATGAAGACTTCTCCACCTCCCCGGGCAGTTCCAATGACTGACAACCCTTTCAGTGAAGAAATTTTTCCTAATATCCAATCTAAACCTCCCCTGGTGCAACTTGAGGCCAGTTCCTCTTGTCCTGTTTGCTTGTTACTCTGTAGAAGTGTCCAACCCCCACCTTTCTGCACCCTCCTTTCAGGTAGTTGTAGAGAGTAATAAGGTTTTTCCTGAGCCTCCTCTTCTCCAGGCTGAACACCTCCAGCTCCCTCAGCCACTCCTCACAGGAATTGTGCTCCAGACCCTTCCCCAGCTTCGTTCCCTTCTCTGGACACGTTCCAGCACCTCAATGTCCTTCTTGTGGTGAGGGGCTCAAAACTGAACACAGGATTCGAGGTGTAGCCTCACCAGTGCCCAGTGCAGTGGGACGATCCCTGCCCCAGTCCTGCTGGCCACACTGTTCTTGTTGCAGACCAGGATGCCATTTGCCTTCTTGGCCACCTGGGCACACAACAGCTCCTGTTCAGCCCCTGTTGACCAACAACCCCAGATCCTTTCCTGGCGGGCAGCTTTCCAGCCCCATGTCCCCATGCCTGTAGAGTTACAGGGGGTTGTTGTGGCCCAAGTGCAGGACCGAGGATTTGGCCTTGTTGAACCTCATACAGCGGCCTCAGCTCATGGATCAAGCCTGTCCAGATCCCTCTGAAGAGCCTTCCTGCGCTTAGGCAGGTCAGCACTCCTGCCTGATTTGGCGTTGTCTGCAAATTGACTGAGGGTGCACTTGATCTCTTCATCTAGGTCATTGATAAAGATATTAAACAGAACTGGCCCCAGTACTGAGTCCTGGGGAACACCACTTGTGACCAACTGGATTTAACTCCATTCACTACCACTCTTTGGGCCTGAACATGCAGCCAGTATTTCAACCAGCAAAGAATAATTTGGTGTTTATATTATGCTAACCATTAAGATACACAAGGACATCCCCCCTGATTACTTTACATGTTGACAGTTTTAACTCTGTCTCCCTGTTCCTGGATATACTTCACAGCTAACAGAATGTTCTTACTAAGGAAATACTCATGCATTGATACAGAAATTTTAACATGCTTTTCTGAGTAGGTTGAACTTCAGCTCCATTTCAGATATAAAATTTTAGATCCTGGATGTATTTATTCTTGGGGTATATATATGTATACACACATTATGCACTTATTCAGGTAGATCGTCTGTAAATGGTGGAAGTGGTATGAAATTTATGATCTATATAGGCAACAGTGCAATGTGTGGCTTCACACAATGCAAAAAACTAACCAAGCAAGGTTGAAAAAAAAACATCAGGGATTTTGAAAATGTGTTTGGAAAACTGTTGCCCATCCATGTCTTATGTCATTAAACTTAACTGAGGTATAAAGAATTAAATCACTTTATGGATATTAAAGACTCAAGCACTCAGATGTCTTTAATGACTCTACATTGCTGAATGCTGCTTTGTAGACTTTCCAGTGCTCGCACCATCTTAAGGTAGCTTAGGTTCTTAAGTGACTGTACCATGTTATATCTCCAAAGAAGCTTACCTGGGAATTTAAGGTAAGCACCAGTAACTCTCAGCTATGCTCTTAAAACAAATGGATATATTCTTTGATGAACAATTATAAACAGTAAGTCAGGATATGCTAATATATAGGGTTTTGCATAAAGGAGGGGTGGGTTGTTTTTTTGGTGTGGTTTTTTTTTTTAGTTTTCTGTCTCCAGTTTTCTGTACATAGGAGTTAAATAACTCTACTGATGTCATGTGACAAAATGACAATTTTTTCCCCAAAGAGTGACCTTCCAACTGTTCTTGCATAGTCAAACCTACACTGCATCACTGAGGTAAGGCTGATCCAGATGTATTTCTTCTTTGTTTTAGATGCCACTACAGCAATTTGGCCTTCTCACTGATGGCTCATGTGCTAGCTGAGCATGCAGCTGAGGGGCAATACCAGCGCTGGATCTCAGAGAACATCCTGGACCGCTTGGGCATGGAGGACACTGGCTTCGACATCACACCACCAATCCGCTCTCAGATGGCTGTGGGTTTCTATGGCAGCCAGCAGCCAGCCCCTCTCTATGACCTTGGCTGGTACAGGCCTTCTGGCCAGATGTACTCCACAGCTGCTGACCTTGCCAAGCTGGCAATGGTCTTCTTAGGCACTTACCACCGTCGTCTCCTAGAGCCTGACACAGTGAAGACAATGCTGACCCCTCTGTTTAAGTGTTCTACTGAATACTTTGCTAACAAGACTGGCACGCCCTGGGAGATAAACGAGCAGTTGGGATATGATATCATTAGGAAGGATGGAGACCTTGATGGTTATTCAGCTACTTTCTCCCTTATCCCCAAGCTTCGCCTGAGCTTCATTGTACTGATGGCAGGGCCCAGGCCTCAGGGTGGAGATATTGTGACTCAGACATATGAGTACCTTATTCCTGCCATGGAGACGGCATTCAGAGAGGCAGAGAAAAGCTTGATTCCTCCTCCAAGTCCAGGCCCTTATGTTGGCTACTATACCTATTCCAATCTGACTTTCTACGAGATCAAAGTTGGACCTGGTGGGGTGCTGGTCATGCAGCAGTTTGGGCCTCATGTGGAAGAGCTGATTCCTGAAAAATACCGAACAATCAAGCTCCACCACCTGGAAGATCGCGTTTTCCAAGTTGTTTTTGACAAGGAGTTCCCATGTGTTCTGCACCTGGGCTCTGCATCTATTTCACTGGAGACCCAAAATGGGCAGCTCTTTAACTTTTATCCATTTGATCACAAGGGTTTGTCTCCTGGCTTTGATGCACCAGGGCTGAACACATACAATGTGGTGCGTGTACTTCATAAACCCGCATTCTATAGCTAAATGTCCCCTCTATTTTTCTGACCACTTCCGGGAGGTGGCTCCAAATCTGTGTCTTACCAGACTCTCCTGTTTGTGTGGCTTTATGGATGTCATTTAAAAGAGAAAGATGGTGGAAAATTACTCTTTCCAAAAAAATATGTTATATCCCACTTATAAAATTAGTTCAGTGGCTTGCAATCACTGGCAGTGTGCAACAGGCCACCTAGAAAGTGGGGATGCTGGTGGAAAAAAGAGGTGGGAATATGACGGATGGAGTGTGTTTGAATGCCATTAAAAAAGCCCAGCACTGAAGTCTACACACTTACATTGTTTGATGACCATTCTGGTTACTGAATGATATCAAAAGGCTGAGAATTTCCTGTGTTTCTCTGAAAATCTCTCTTCTTCAGTCCAAGGGTTTTTTCAGGGGTCTTCAGAAGCCTACCTACCATGAACAAGATTCTTCACATTGGTTTGCCAAAAGCATTATGTGCTAGAAAATTACACCAGCCTGATACCAAGCCCTGTTTGCAATACCTGGGGTATTTCTTTCCTGGATCACAACAAGGCAACTATGAAAAGAGCAGACATCAATGTGGTCATGGCTTAGCTCCATGGATTTCTGCAAAAGCGGTTGTCAGACAGAAGATACTGTAGCCCTTAAGTATAGAAGCTAAAGCCTACTTCTGTGAGCAGGGCTATATGAATATACAGGGATATATTGCAGCTGGACTCAGTCTTGTGACTATTTCAGTATATAGGTAAGTGTGTGAGTGTGGCTTAAGTATAGGAATGCATGGCAATCTGTGTGTGTGTTTTCGGCAGGGTGTCTGTATTGATATGTACCCATTGTGTTTATGCATTTATGAGGGAAGGTGCTAAGGGAAAGTGCATTAGCCTGCCGAGCTCTACATTTAGGACAGGTGCATCTACAAGCAATCTGCAAAGACATACGTGTGTTTTCTTCTCTCTTCTTGTCCACTCAATGCCAAGACAGGCAGAACAGATGATATATCATTAATGGCCAACACCATATCACTGTGGTGGGAACAGCGTCAGGCATGAGTGCAAGAGTGGGCATGTACCACCAGCAGAGGGGTCTTGGCTCTTGCAATGCCTCTTCAAGTTTAGGAGAGTATTGTGATTGCAGCCCTAACTGGAACCTGAAATAAAAGCAAGTAGAGGGTCAGGGCAAGATAATTCTTACCTTAAAATAAAAAGCCTAGTTGCAGGGTATGGCAATGGCAGTACAGCATGGAAATCCTGAAGGAAGTGCAAAAGGGTAGACATTCTAGCACAGTCAAGGACTCTCCAAAGAGCATGTCTTCCCATGCCATAACTGATATGAGGTTGGATCCTCTTGCAAAGTGACCTCCTTCTGTTTCATGTCCACATAGAATCTGGAAATTGGACATGTCTCAGAGAACATGAGAAAATACATCTCCTTGCTCCCCTTCTCTCTTGTTCTCTCTCACTGTTTTCACTCTGTGTGAAATTCTTCAGCTTCGGTTTTGAGTAGAGAGACCACCTCTGAAGGCCGAGAAATTTTAGGTCCCTGGTAAACATACAAAATAATGTAAACCTTGCCTTACACACAGTCATGGTTGCTGCTGTATTGCTTTCCTCTGGACTTTGTAGGTGATTACATTTCATACCTTGTAGAACCTTGTATATTCAAGTATTTATTCTAGGCAATGGAAACAGCAATAAACTCTATGCAAATTCTTGCTGCTGTCATGTGTGATCATTCCCAGAGGTATGTGTGTAGGCAGATATGTTACAGCATGGTTGATTCCCTGTAGAGGTGCATACACTCTGTCATGGCATGCCTGACACAACAGTGCTCTCTTGGCTGTGAGCTCACAAGATATAATGTCTGACTGCAACATACTTGAGTGGTCTGACACTTGTCTTTTTGTGTGAGGTCTAATGCCAGTTTGGGTCTTCTTGCACTGGAACAAAAGAAGTGATCATTTACCCCTCAGCTACCTTTAAAATCTTCCAAGAAAAAAAAGGATTTATATCCCATGTCACTCATTGGTCAGGATGAAACACCACACTGGACTGTCTCCATTTGTCTAATGGAGAGGATAAGATGTTTTATTTTTTCATCAGTAATGCACACATTAACAAATCCTTCTTTTTCTAGTGAGTCACCCTCATACCTGTACAGTGACAGTTTTTGATGCTCTTGTTCGTTCCCATAATCACAAAATCATTTACTCTTTGCTATTCTTAGCTTGTACCCATACCTGCAGTAAAGCTAATCTCACCAAACTGGGAAGGTGAACAAGAGCTTCTTACACTGCCCCTTTGTGTGAGAAGGAGAGTACCATTACCTGGTATGGAGAAGAGAAAGGAGGCATTGGGACACCTGTACAGAGGATTTGGGAAAGGCTGTGTGTGGCAGGCAGGATAAGCTGGAGTTTTGGATGACCGGAGTCAGCCATGGCAAACAGCCAGATTCACAATGCTGAGTCAATGCTAAAAACACGAACATCCAATTTCTTACTGTCACTTCATGCCTAAGAGCATCTTAAGAAGGCAGAACCAGCTTCTGTGACCTTGTGTGACCTGACAGCAGTGCTTTATATGAGCTTTAAAAGTTCAACTTTCAATTAATTTCAATTAAATTCTATTTCAATAAGTTACCATTCTGAGTAATTTTTTAAGCTTTTGTGAATGCTTGTTGCTGAATAAAATATATCCTAACGTTATTTCACCTGTGTCAGACTGTCTTTAACAATAGGTACAGCAAACGTAAAAATCTACCCAATTGCTCACTTTATAGAAATGTGTGTTTTAAAAGGTGACTAGATGTGTCTGCAGCAGCCTCTAGTTCTTAAAAATGTCTTTATAATTACTCGCCAGGGAACCAAGCAAATAAAATATGCTTCATTATCATCTCCTGCATCAAAAAAAGAGTCAAGAACAACACTTATTCATTCGTTCAGGAGAACAAATTCTGCTCTAAGAAGCACTGGTGAAGTGACATAATACTGTAATAGTGACCCTGAAAACTGTATTTAGTCTGCAAGTTAAAAGGCTTTGCACCACCAAGAATGAGATTAATCTGGCAAAATATAAACAGCGACATCTGAGCTGTCCTCTAGACACCTTTCTACTCAGTGAGAATTAATGACTTTAGTCAGTAGAGTGGATTCGTCCTATCTTAAAGCACATATTTAGAATAAATTGATGAACCACACTCTATGAAACCCCAGTCTCCTTTTGGTGGAGGTGGCCTCAACCCTTGCTATCAAAAGCAACTCTCATAATCTGCCTGCCAGGTAATGGCAAGTCCTCAAGCTGTTGCATCAGGATTGCTCTGAAGACCTGAAGATCACTGATTAGCAAGCCTGAGGCCGAACAAGGTGATGTTTGCTGTGGTCCCATGCTAGCATTAAGTCAATTAAGACAAGTTCTTCCCTTTTAGAACTCCTCCCCCTTCAGGAATATTAGCTCAAGTGAGGATGATATAAAGCTTAAGCTTCAACCTACATTTTGAAAATAGCAATTTATCCCTGCATGCTTTATTACTTCATACTCATACTTCCCCTCAACCAGACCAGTGTGGCCAGTGTTTACTGGACAGCATCTTTGCCAAGCTTTTCTGTTTCAATGATGGGAGTAAGACGATGCGTATATCTGCCTGCAACCACCACTGGAGCAGGACTCAGAAAAAAAAGGATGAAGTCAGGGTATCAAGGACTGGGCCTTGGTGTCAGAGCCTGGAAGTTTGTTAAACACAAACTGCAGGCTCCCTGTTTTTCTCCTTAGAAATGTATTGATGTTCTTGTCACAGACGGGTGTGTTAAGCCTCTGTGATGTGAAACACAAGTTTTT